CCTAGGACAGGAAAATATTTGTCATGTGCTGTACAGAGAATGCCTGTCCATTCTCCTCTCTGTGTGCTCTGCACAGCACCAAGGGCTGGAAGGAACCAACCTGAGCCTTGCAACCAGTTCCTGTCAAAAAAGCTTCTTTTTTCTCTGAATAAAAAACTTCATTTTGTTCTCTGAGTTTTCCTCAAAACCCCATCAGGGTGGACCTTCCCACAGTAGACTTTTCTTGAGAAGATAATGGTGCTGACACAGAGCTCCAGAAGAACTGCATCCCCTAACTTCCATGAAAGTGGAAATCCCTAAATGGAGAGGAGCATGAGTGATGATCTAAGGTTTCTTAGTGCCTTTGACAATGCCTGTGACAATTTCCATCCCTCTATTCTGTCCAGGCTGACATCAGATATTGATGTTTTCAGCCTGGCAGGATCAGGAATGCATGTGTGCATGCATAAGACTGTTGTGGGGTATATGTCGATAGGTCTTGGTCCGTGGAGAAAAGAACACACACACACAACACGGTGATGAGACAAAGGGATGTCTGCTGCTCCAGAGAAGCAGCAGCTTTTATTCAGTTCGCTCGCTTCTACTTTCCCACACACATAGAATATAAACATATTCTTGCAAAAACACCCAGGAATGTAACACCTGCACACAACCAAACAGCTTCGCCCCTGTACTCCTTAAAACTCAAGGCTGTGTCCATGGAAACATCCAATTAGCCTCACTGTTCTCATGGGAAAAGGCCTAACTCTCTGTAATATTTTAAACTCTTCAAGTCCCACGGATTTCATGGAGCTGCCACTTCTCCCCACATAAGACTTCTCTGGACCATTCAGAGAGCTTCTTTGCACAAGGGGACAGGCCTCAGCCAAGCAGAGCATATGCTGTCAGGGATATTTTGCTTCCCATGTACTTCTGATACTTCTTGGCCTTGTGCCCCTTTAGGGACACCTCGTTCTACTCTTGCTCTTGCTGCATCTCTGGCTTCTTCCGCTCCTTCACCTCACCAACGAGGAAGGGGAGAGGATTTGCATCAAGCCTAATGACAGCATGAGCTCTGCAGCCACAGTGAGTGACATCAACAGCCCCATCTCACGGGACCACCCATCTGTGGCGGTTCATATTACAGGAACTGTGTAGCAAAGCATCTTGGGAACTGTAGTCCTTGGTATTCTACGGCACATGCGCAGTGGCGTGCTTTAATGCCATTGGTTAAGAGATCACGTGTCATGACTCAAGCATTGTATTTAAACTGGTGTTCTTTGTAATGAACTCAATTCAGCCTGGGTCCACTTGTAGTTTGGGTTCATGCCAAAACAGGTATCACACCCATCCTCCTTTGGAGCAGTTTTGATATCTCCTCTGGTAGCTGATAGGAATAACTGCAGACCTTACCACTTCCTGGTGGCCTGGTCATATTCTTAGGAGTGAAATGGTGTTCTGGGACCAGCCCCAGTTCCTATGGAGGCAGCAATGCTGCACTGACATGCTCTTATGGCTGGGCTTGGGGCAAGCTCGGCTCCCAGTAAGCTGCTGTCACCACCACGGGGAGGGCTGGATGAAGACATTGGAGTCCTGGCACTTCCTGACACAGGGCTCATTGCAGCTGTTGGCCAGCGGGGTCGGGCTGTAGGGCTGGCAGGGCCGGCATGGGGTGTAGCAGGACATGTCTGGGGCCTGAGCTCCACCTGGGAGAAACACTTGAAATGAATTAGAGCACTGGGACATGTGAGGAGCAGTTGCTCACAAGTCACAAGCCCATCACCCCACTGTGAATGTTTCAAAGGCCAGGAGGTAGAGGCTGGGTGGTGAGACAAAAAAGTTTCTTGGCCTCATCCAAACACGATACTGCAAAGTGTCACCAGGCCCAGTGGGGCTGCTACCTGTTTCTTCAATGAAGGGCCTCCTCAGGCACATTCCAGACAGTCTCTGAGTCAGATCTTTGCTTTTTTCCCCTTCCCATGATAAGGAGCACCAAAATCCTGGATGGAAGCGTTGGATGGAAGATCATGCATCTGCATGACCAGAAAAAATGTTGGGAGGAAAGGACTTCAGACTCACCTAGATTGCAAAGGAAAAGAAGAAAGAGAGGTAGATGACAGAGCAAGGAGTTGGACTGGGTTTTGTGGTGGCTCCAATCTGCCCCAGGGCCAGAGGTGGCTGCTGTGGAAGTGGCAATTTCCTAGGGTGCTCATGGTGAATGGAAAACATCCCAGCTAATGACATGGGCTGGGTGGTTTTTCTCCCCAACACTACCTGTTATTTTCCTGGTGTATGTCACACACATTCCCTCACAGAAGCTTCTGAGTGCAGGGATTGAGAGGCTCCAGGATTTCCAGCGCAGGATTATTCTATGCCAGCAGAAGACTCAACTCAAGTGCTGGATGGCTGCAGGGCAGGCAAGTGATGTTGGCCTGGAGCTCGCTAGTAGTGTTGCCTGTGACTGTATTGAGAGGAAGGGGCCCTGAAATCCTTGGCTGGTCACCCTAGGGATTTCCTTGTGTGAGGACATGCTGTGTCTCCTTTATCTCTCTCCCTCCCTCCCCAATGAGGATGTTACCCTGTGGAGGCTGCCTTTTGCACTCCCAAGTTCTGAGACAGCTTTTGAGAGTCCATTTTGGCCCCCACCCTCAAATGCAACAGGGGCAGAGGAAGTGAAAGTGCATTTCATGGCCTCCATGGAGCACTTTCATCAGTGGCACTGGCTGATCCAAAGGCTGGAGCTAGACAATATCTAGAGGGATACAGAGGTAATAATTTACATCATTCACTACATGAAACTTGTCGAAACTTTCCAATTCACAGGCAAAAAGAAGATGTAATTTTGTGACCTGAACACAGTAAGCAAACGCCACCAACACCCCCAGCGAAATACCAAATGGCAAAGATGTTTTAAAATTATTTATGGAGAGAATTTGGAAAGACCTCAGACCTACTCAGCATCGACATTGTAAGACAGCCAGATAAGTTGCATGGTTGTTTCTTTTCTCCAGCTTTTTTTGATGGGGGTACAGATACTGACTCATGGAACCACACCAATGGGTATGTGATCTTGGAGAACAATGCTGACATTTGTATAGCTTGTTTCTCAACAGCATATGCACACCTAGAGTTTTACAATCAAACACTCAACTTCCCTGCCAGACCATTGCCTTTATCTTGACACAGACCCTGTTACATCTCTGAGTCAGTCAGGGGACTGGGATGCCCCTGCTCAGTGAATTGACAGGCAGGGTTTCGGCAGATGAGTATATTGTGGATTTTGTGTCACTGGTCCCTAAGCCCCTATGACTTCTTGCAGTCTAGAGCAAAATGTAACTTTGAGGTCAAAGGCATCACTTTAAATAACATAACAAATAGAGGAAAGATCTATCTTGAGGCACTGAGGTAGCTTGTGTTGGATCAGTCACAGTGTTACAGTATTACAGTGTAAATATAGACAGTAACAACCCTAAAAATATTCTGATAGTGCACCACTGTATCACTGTATCACCAGAAACAAGCAGAAGTGGGCAACAGACACCAAGGCCCCTTTGGAGGATGCAGAAGGTGATTTATGACCAAAGAGTACAGCATGAAAATTTAAAAGTCGCCTCTGCAGATTTAGGTCACGGGCATGCACTGGAAACACTCCTTCTCTGCTATCTTGGAAGTCCAGAGCAACTGTGGGAAAACTTATTTTGTAAAAAGCCCTTTAGAGAACCATTTCATGGGATGGTTGAGGTTGGAAGGGGCCACCTAGTCCAATGACCCTTCTGATTCAGGGCAAATAGAGCAAGTTGCCAAGAACCATGTCCTGACGGCTTTTGAAGATCTCCAAAGACGGAGACTCCAAGACTTTTCCGGATAATTTGTTTTCCAGTGCTCAGTCAGTGTCTTGATGTTCCAGACACAGCCTCCTGTGCTTCAGCTTGTAACCATTGCCTCTGGTCCTGTCATTGGGCACCTCTGAGAAGAGTCTTCTTTGCACCTTCCCCTCAATTTTTTATATAAAGAGTGTATCTGCTTTATGTAACAAGGTTTTGGTAGTGAAGGAGGTCCCAGGGGTGGCTTCTGTGAGTTGTCAGATGAAGACAATTCCACTGGCTCCAAGGTGGACCCACTGCTGGTCAGAGCTGAGCTAAGCTGTGATGTTGGTACTGCTTCCCTGTTATCATTTTAAGAAGAGGTAAAAAACTGCTGTGCAACAGCAGCTGGGAGAGAAGGGTGGAATAATTAGAGAAAACAGCAGACACAAGAGCCCCAGGCACTGGAGCAGAGATTTCCCTGCAACCCATGGAGGTACACAGTAGAGCAGGTATCCACCTCATGACAGAGCAGATGGATGTACCCTGAAGGAAGCTGTGACACCATGGAGATCTGGAACGGGTTCCTGGCAGGAAGTGTGGCCCTATGGAGAAAAGGCTTTGCTGGAGCGGGTTTGCTGGTAGGACCTGTGGAGGAGCCACACTGGAACCCAGTCTGTTCTTGAAAGGTTGCACCCTGTGGAAAGGATCAGTGCTGGAGCAGTTTGTGAAGAATTGCAGCCTGTGGGAAGGTCCCGTGTTAGAGAAGTTTGTAAAGGAATCTTCCCATGCTAGAGCTGGGAAAGAGCATGAGGAGGAAGGAGCAGCAGAAACAAAACACTGCAACACCTTGTACCCCTGTGCCACTCAGTGGGAGAAGGTAGAGAAGTCAGGAGTGAAGCTGAGATTAGGAAGAAGGGAGAGGTGGGAAGAATGTGGTTTTAGATTTGTCCTTATTTTATATTATCCTGCTCTGATTTTGATTAGAAATAAATGTAATTATTTTCCTGGAGTCTACTTTGCATATAATGGTAAAGTCTAGGTGATCTCTCACTGTTCTTCTCTCAACCCATGAGCCCTTCATCATATTTTCTCCCCCTGTCTAGTTGTGGAGGGCAGTGGTAGAGCATCTTGGTGGGCATATGGCAGCCAACCTGTCTTCAGTCCAGCACCAGGATTGGAGGTCTTGGAGATTGTTGAACAATGTTGCCAGGGGCTTTAGCAGGGGGGACATCTGCCACGGTAGCAGTTGGTGATGCAGGAGAGGTCAAAGCCCCCGGAGTTGATGGGCACTCCGTCACAGCTGAGGATGCTGCCAACGGCAGCGGAGGTGGAGGATCCCACCACGGTGTTCTGTGGGAAGGAGCTGAGGATGGGCCCGGGCAGGGTCACCACCACAGCCGGTGGCTCAGTGACAGCGGTGGAGCTCTGGCACTGCCTGACACAGCACTCATTGCAGCTGTTGGCCAGCGGGGTCGGGCCACAGGGACAGCTCTGTGCAGGACACGTCTTGGGGCACAAAGGGCGCCTGGAGAGAGGGCAGGGAGGAAGCAAAAAATGGGGATGTGTGAGAAGCAGCTTGTCACCACACCATGAGGGAGACAAGATACAAGACAAGCCAGGAGGTGGAGGCTGTGCAGAGATGTACGAGGGCTTATTGCCCTCATCCTGCCAGGGCCCAAAAAGAGCCCCCAGCTCCTATGCAGCTACTGCTCAGCCCCCGAGTGCAGATGCCACCTGCACACAAGTCTCAGCCTTCCTCCATTTCTGACCTTCTCCCTACTTCTCTCTCCCATGAAAAGCAATCCCAAGAGCCATCCTAGAAGAGAGCTGGAATCAATTGAGAGGTCCATGGAAGTGAGATCTCCTTTAGAGAAAGCAGAGAAGGAGAAGGGGCTTCAGACTTACCTGATTCCTGAGGAGAAGGAGGCGAGAGAAGTGGAGAAGCTGAGCAAGCATTTATTATGGACCTTTACTTCCCCAAACTGCCAGAGGCATCCCTGGTAGACATGATCATTTTCTGAGAAACTCATCTTGATTGCAAAACATCCCATTTAATATGCAAAACATCCCATTTAATTCTATGGTTTGTGGCTTGGCTTCCTGAATGTCTGTGTTTCATTTCCTGCTTTGTTTCAGGTACATTTCCTTGTGAACGCTTTTCTTTGTTTTTTTTGTGTGAGAAGATGAGAGGCCCAAGCCCTTCTGGAGCAAAACACATCAGTGTAGGCAGATGATTCAGAGGACTCATCTCACATGCTGAAAGAGTCTAGTAAAAGCAAATTATGTCAGTCTGGATCACTGCTTTGGGGGTCTTTGGCGCTCCTGTTGGCAAGAAGTGGCTCAGCTCCTGGATTTTGCTCTATCCTGCCTAAAAATGAACCCAGAAAAATTCTGCTGGACTGTTTCTCATACTTCTCTTCTGCACCTGAGAGGTCTGTGAGGCCCATGCCTCGTTCTTCTTCAGAATGCTCTAGCCCTGCCAGTATTATCTCCACTTGCCTACTGAAGAGGCCACAGTTCACTGTGATTCTTTCACAGAATATTCTGAGTTGGAAGGGATCCACAAGGATCACAGAGTCCAACTCTTAGTCCTGCACAGCACAGCGCCAGGAGTCACACCATGTGCCTGTGAGTATCATCCAAACACTTATTGAACTCTGTCAGATTTGAGGCTGTGCCCAACCATCCTATGGGGGAAGAAGCTTTTTCTAATATCCAAACTAAACCTGCCTGACACAACTGCAAGCCGTTCCCTGGGATCCTGTCCCTGGTCCCCACAGAGCAGGGCTCAGGGCCTGCCCCTTCTCTGCCCCTCCCCAGGAAGCTGGAACTGCAATGAGGTCTCCCCTCAGTCTCCTCTTCTCCAGCTGAACACACCAAGTGCCCTCAGTGTCCTCACACGCCTTCCCCTCAAGACCCTTCCCCATCCTTGTGGCCTCCTTTGGACACTCTCTAATGGCTCAATCCCTTCCTTCCATTGTGTCCCCCCAAACTGCTCCAATATTGAGGTGAGGCCACCCCAGGGCAGAGCAGAGCAGGACAATCCCGTCATTGGCCCAGCCAGCGATGCTGGGCCTGATGCCCCCAGGACAGGGTTGGCCCTCCTGGCTGCCAGGGCACTGCTGACTCATGGCCAACTGGCACCCACCAGGACCCCCAGGGCCCTTTCCTGGCACTGTTTTCCAGCATCTCATTCTCAGTCTGTCCATAGATCCAGGGTTGCCCCACCCCAGGGGAAGATCTGGCACTTCCCCTTGTTGAACTTCCTATGCTTGGTGATTCCCAGTCCTCTGATCTATTGAAATCTCTCTGCAGGGCCTCCCTGCCTTTAAGGGAGTCAACAACTTTTACTACTTATTGTCTGTCTGTTAATTTACTGTCATCTGCAAACTTGCTCAATGTCCCTTCCAGTCCTGTGTCCAAGTCATTGATGAAGATGCTGAAGAGCAGAGGGCCCAAAATGGAGCCTGTGGAGCCCCACTAGTGACAGGTGCCTGTCTGATGTCACCCCAGTCACTTCCACCCTCTGTGCTCGCCCCATGAGCAAATTGCTCACCCACCACATGATGTGTTTATCCAGCTCTGAGCTGGACAGTTTGTCCAGAGGGATCCTGGGAGAGACAGTATCAAAAGCTTTACTGAAATCCAAAAAGATTACATCAAAGGGCTTCCACTGATCAACCAGGTGGGTCACCTTGTCGTAGAATGAAATCAGATTTGACAAGCAGGATTTTCCTGTCAGAAGCTGTGCTGTCTGTGACTTTCTGTGTCCTGTGTGCAGCTGGGATTGTGTGAATGTACACGGGTGCAAAAATCTGTGCATGATTCCACTCTGATGTGCACAAGGGTGTGTGTATATGTGTCCCTCCTCGTGAGAGATTGCTCTACTCATGGCAGTGTCACTCTCCACTGCTCTGTCAATAAGCTCCACAGAGCAGCCAGAGCCAGGGGGAACTTCAGTGCAGCTGAACAAGAGAACAAACCTGGCAGATAATTGTCCTCACCACAGGAACTGAAATGCAAGCTTCTGTATCTTCAGTCCTCCTTTTCCTACTCCTTCAAAGCTCACAGTCTGCTGATGATGATTCCAGGCCCCAGCAAAGATGTTTTCACACTGTTTTGGACCCTTAGATTAATTCAGTGTAAACAATATTGGGAATGATAAGCATGGCTTGCAGTCCTCGCTCCCTGCTTCTCCAGACCAGGACATGGCTCTCCCCCAATCTAGGGACTTCAAAAGTGTGAGTTTTGTTCTGTGGACAGTGAGAAAGGCTGAGAAGTTCTGCCAGATTCATCCAGGCTATGCCCGAGTGAGTTTGCATTCGCTGCAGTGTCAGTGCTGTCTGGTGTGAGACGAGTCCCTGCCTCATGTCCAAGCCAATGCCAAATGTACCAGTGCAGCCCATCAGCCTGGTGCTGTGTCAGGCAGAGGCTGAGACCTTGGAATCAACATGTCCTGAGCTAAAGGAACACGGCATAGGGAAAAGAAAGTGTTCAATAGATATTTGTGCTCACTTTTTATTGGGTCGTGGAGGTAAGAGGAAGATGGAGTAGAAGTCATGGTCCAACATGAAGGCTGTTCCTCAAATTCCAACTCCTGATATTCTGTAGAGCAGATTATGTCCAAAACCCTCACACCCACACCCCCGGTGCAGCTCTGGCCATAACAAGAGGAACACTCTTCCTGAAGAGCTCGTGGGGCTGCTAATGCTTCAGGGTCTCCCAATTTCCTGGGAATTTATGGGGAGAGACACATCAAAACAAGGCTTGATGGTGTCTGGAAGCAGAGCAGCTGGGGATGTCTTCCTCCAAGGGATGGTTCCCTAAAGATCTGCGCCTCCATGGTGCCCCAAAAAGCCATTCCTCTCTGAATAGGTAAGGGTCTCTTATATGCTCAGCCCCTTCCACCACTGAGCAACACCTTTCTCCTTTGGCATTCAGGAGTATAACCAGAGGAAAGAACCACATGGAGGCCAGACTTGAATGCAGCAGAATTTTATTGAAAAAAAAGACAGAAACAAAGTTACTGCAAGCGCAGATCAGCGGTGCAGGGAGTACCAAGGGCAGCAGAGAGCCTGTGTTCCTTGGCTGTGGAATAGTTCCTGCATGATGTTTGTCTACCTGTCCCAAAAAGGGAGGAAAAAACAGATGGTCCCCACCAATCTGGCCTTTGGAGAACATTGCAGCACCGATGCAAACAATGAAAAGGGAGAGAAAGGCAAGTTCGGTCAGCTATCCTGCAAACAGCACCCAAAGCCTAGATCCTCTGCCTGACACCATGTTCTGAATTTCTCAAGATGTCTCATCAGGGCTTTCCCAGTATCTTTAGCAGGGGAGGCCCCTCCTGCCACCATAGCGCCTGGTGATGCAGGAGAGGTCAAAGCCCCCGGAGTTGATGGGCACTCCGTCACAGCTGAGGATGCTGCCAACGGCAGCGGAGGTGGAGGATCCCACCACGGTGTTCTGTGGGAAGGAGCTGAGGATGGGCCCGGGCAGGGTCACCACCACGGGGGAGGGCTGGATGACCACGGTGGAGTCCTGGCACTGCCTGACACAGGGCTCATTGCAGCTGTTGGC